AAATTAACCTGAGGCATGTGCTTGTATGCTAATTTCCAAAATAGTGTTTAAACACTTGGGGAGAGTGGGGTGTGCTGGGGATTGAACCCAGGGCCTGGGTCCTTAGCCCATGTGTAAACACATTTTAAGAATTTATTTCTACCAGGCACAGGGGTGCATAACGTAATCCCAGCTGTTCAGGAGGCTGAGGCAGGAGGATCACAAATTCAAAGCCAGCCTCAGCAACTTAGCAAGGCGCTAAGCAACTTAGTGAGACCCTGTCTCAAAAAAACAGAAAGGACTGGAATGTGGCTCGGTGGTTAAGGACCTCTAGGTTCAATCCCTGGTACCAAGAAAAAAAAACCACCACCCAACTTAGAATCTCTTCCTAAATAGTAACAGCTAACATTTCCAGAGGGCTTACCATTGGTATGGCACTTTGTTTTACTTAGTCTTCATAACAATCCTATGAGGTTACAATCCATTTTACCAGATGAGGGAAATAAAGATATGAAGAGATAAGCAAATTATCCAAGATTACAGACACTATTTGGACAAATAAAACCTAGGCTGTAGGCTGTCTGTAATCCTAGTGACTTGAGAGGCCTCAAGTTCGAGGCCAACCTCAGCAACTTAGTGAGGCCTGAAACAACTTAATGAGACCTGTCTCAAAATAAAAACTAAAAGGGGCTGGAGTTGTAGCGCAGTGGTAGAGTGCTAGCCTAGGATGTGTGAAGCACTGAGTTTGATCCTCAACACCACATAAAAATAAATAAAATAAAGGTATGGTGTCCAACTACAACTAAAAAATAAATATTAAAAAAAAAAAAACTAAAAGGGCTGGGGATGTAGTGCTAAAGTCCTCTGGGTTCAATCCCTTATTACGCAACCACCACCACCACCCCCTGCAAATAAAAACAACCCTAGGCTGAGGGGATTCTGAACCCAACCCCAACTCTTTTCTGTGCTGGAACTGAACCCAGGGCCTCATGAATGCCAGGCAAGCACTCTACCACTGAGCCACATTCCCAGCCCCCAAACCCAACTCTTAACCACCATCTATCTCTAGCTATCTCCATTTTCCTAACTCCTAAGGATGCTGGTGTTTGTATTAGTTTGAAATATCACTTCTGATACTTTAATTAGACCTCTAGTTTTGGAAAAATGGGATTTTAAAATCCTAAAAATCAGAACACAGCAAAAGCTAAATAAAACTTCAGTTTGTTGCATGAAATTGTATCCTCAGGACAAGGCTGACTAGACTTGGCTATTGTCACCTACTTAACCACCTTTTCCTTTTGGGAATCAGGAAAAGTGTGGAAGTCCTTAATCCATCACTCCTTTTTACCATAGTAAAAAGTGCTAACCTATTCTCTAAGTCTTCTCCCAAAATTAGCAGAAACCATTCAATAAAAAAAGTAAATACTATATTCTGTATGAGTCTTTTATTTTATTTTTATTTTTGCAGTACTGGGAATTAAACCCAGAGCCTCATGCATACTAGAAAAGTGTTGTATGACTTAGCTACATCCTCAACCCTTTTTTTTTTTGAGAGAGAATTTATATATATATATATATATATATATATATATATACACACACACACACACACACACACACACATAAAAGTTTTCGGTGGACACATCTTTATTTTATTTTTATGTGGTGCTAAGGATAGAACCCAGCACCGTGCACATGCCAGGCAAGCGTGCTACCACTTGAGCCACATCCCCAGCCCCATCCTCAGCCCTTTTTGATACAGGATCTCACTAAATTGCCCAGACTGGGCTCCTCTGCCTCAGCCTCCTGAGTAGCTGGGATTACAGTAGTCATATAGTACCAGTGGCACCCAACTATCTGATTCCTTTATAAATTAATCACTAATTCTCCATACATATTAGTTATTGTATGTCAGATTGTAATTAAGAGTTATGTTGGCCTGGCCAATAAGTTACAATGAATCAGTCTTGTTTCATCAAATGATTTTCCCACCTGAATGAGGAGACAACTTTTTCCTTTTGGGAATCAGGAAAACATTCTTGTTCTCCACAACACTACAAGGTCCTCTTCAAATTTTAGCATAGATGGGCACCATGACACAGGCCTGTAAGCCCAAAGGCTCGGGAGGCACGCAAGTTCAAAGCCAGCCTCAGCAAAAGTGAGGTACTAAGCAATTCAGTGAGACCTGTCTTTAAATAAAATACAAAATATGGCTGAGGATGTGGCTCAGTGGTTGAGTGCCCCCAGAGTTCAATCCCCCGTACCCCCCAGCCCATAAAAAGAGCCAATAGGGAATGGAAAGATGAACCATCAGGAAACCCAACATCACCATCACCAAGAGAAAAGACCACAGATATCTTCATTGATCCTAAGGACCAGGCTGAGGAGACTTGGCTACTGTCACCTACTTAGCCACCTCCTCCCTAACCTAAAGGGAAAGAATGACTCCCAAAAAAGGCTGAGTCACTAGGAAGTGAATACCTATAGTGCAAACCTCAGCTCCCATGATGAAAAGCTACAGGCTGTTTAATTGCAATTATTTCCACTTGCAATGGAGTATCTATCTCACTTTGGATACATGAATAGTCCCAGAGGAGAAAAGTACTTCCCATTAGGACTCTTTAAAGAGAATGCTAAAGGATCAGAAGCATAAAGCCTTTTCCTTTGGCTTGCCCATTAAATCAGGGTACAACCAGGGATAGGGTGAATGGTGTAGTGTGGACTCCATTCTCCCCAAGGTACCCTTTCTCTACCTTAACATGGCATGGGGAAACAGTTCTCACTAGATTCCTGCTGAAACCAACTCTTAACCACCATCTCTAGCTTTCTCCATTTTTCCTAACTCTTAATGTACAAATCCTACTATTAACTGAAGCACAAAAGAATTTAATATATGTATTTAAGATATCTTATATTACTAGATTATTCATAATGATCATCAGTTTTTGCTTTTGGTCTTATTCTAAAATGTAATTATTTGTAATGCACACAACACATTAAAATTTTTTATCTGATTTTTCTGAAATTTAATACTAACAATATTTTAAAACTGAAATGGGGCTGGGCATGATGGCACAACTGCAATTCCAGTCCCAGGGGGACTGAGGCAGGAGGATCAGGAGTTCAAGTCTGGCCTGGACAAACCAGTGAGATCCTGTCTCAAAAAAAAAAATTTTTTTTTAAATAAAATAAAAAATAACAGCTGGGTGTTCTTGAAGATCAGGAGAGTATCCGTGGGTTCAATCCCCAGTACCATGAAAGAAAGAAGACTGAAATTGGGTTTGTTATTTTACAGATATTACCAGTTTAACCATTTGATGGTCTTAGAGGACTTTGTCCTGGGCTAAGCATCAGCAAAACACCACAGAACTACACAGTTCTTCCTGCCAGAGAACCACAGAACCAAAGAAAATGGCCTCCTTTACTAGTACTTTTCCTTTAGGGCCTCTCCTAGATGCCGAGGTTAAAACAGGCCATCCCAGAGCGTTCATATCTGCCCTCCCAACAGGATTACATTTCTCAGACTTTCCAAAGCTTTGCCCCTTTCAAAAGGATGTACAATGGAGGCCAAGAAGCTAGAGATAGCAACTTGGGGTCAAATATCAGCACCACATCAACCATGCATATAATCCTTTCATATACCTGTTTTGTCCAAAGATTAGAGGGGACCAGGGCAGGATCTGCCTTAGTCATGAGTGAAAGCACTTCAATAAAGGGATTCCTTATTAGAATTCCAAAATCACAGAGATGGGTCAAGCCAGAATAGGCAAGCATTTTCTGGGCCACTTCCACTTTTCTGGGCCTTTGTCCTTTGCCAATAGCCCGCCAGTTCCTCACACCTACCTGTTACTCCACCCAGAAATGGGGTAAGGACCTTGGACTAATAAGCAGATACGACCTTGAACAAATCACCTTTCCAATCCTCACTTTTCCCATCTATAAAAGGGGGACAAGGAGGGATAGGAAGGAAAGGATTTTTATGGAGCTACTTTAGAAACTATCAACTCAAGTCCTTCATCACTCACTCGGTTGCAATTGGATGCGTTTTGGATTCAGTATTTGTGGCAGGTTAGTTAACTGCAAAGCAGTCCCCAAGCACGCGGATTTCTCTTGAAACAGGTTATGCACCCGTAGCGAGTCTCACTCCGGGTACTGCAGGTAAGAGCCTGCCAGTGGCCTGCCGCTTCGCTACCATCTGCAGCAGTTCCTTAAAAAGGCCAGCCACTGGAAGGCACCAGGCACTTTCCATGAGCCCCACGCCCTGGGAGAACCCTACAATGGCCTACCGATCGCAGGCGGCCCCATCTCCAGGAAAGCCACCCCTGAAGTGTAAATTCTCAGGCTAAAAGGGGAGAAATTGCGTCTAGGCGATGTCCCCAACTGCGCAATGGGCTGCGAAGCAACTAGCCGCGTCCTCCTCCCAGCACGGCCCCTCACACTCCACTGGGTGACCTTGAGCAAGTCGACTCCCCACGCTGTGTCCGCTTCCCCAGTTGCAAATTAAACTGCTGGAGAGAGGCTGCGCAAGCTATCGGCCCTGTTCCGAGGCTCGCACTAGGGGTGCCTCTGAGGCCGGGCGCCTGACTCTTTCACACCGCCCCCCACGACCAAGCCCGCTCGGTACCTCGCAGAGCCTGCCCGCCGCGCTTTGCCTCCTCGTGGCCCGCCGGGCTCAGGTCGGCGTCGTACCAGCCGCTGAAGCGATTCTCTAGGTTCCAGGCGCTCTCACCGTGCCGAATCAGCACCAGCTTGTAGGCAGCCATGGCGGCGAGGTAAGGATGCGGCGCCGACTAGAGCTTGCAGAGATTCCGGAGTCAGCCCGCCCCTCGGCCGCGCCTGCGCGCTCGCAACCCACGCCCTGTTCCCGCGCGCTTTCTCTACTAAATCTTTCCACTTTCTCCGGAACGCCCTCCGCCCGCCAGGTGTACGCATGCGTTCTATGCCGTAGTTGCAGCCAGTTTGGGGGGGGCGCGCTCCGGAACACAAGAGCGCATGCGCTCTCCATCGCCGGCCCCGCATCCGCCGCGGCGGTCACGGAGCGCACGTAAGCACGAAGGGCGGCGGGGCCTTAGGCTTGCACGCTGCCTGGTGATAAGGTTGGGCGGTGCACTTGATGTGGTCCTTCATGAGCCCCTATCCTTTGAACCGCTAGGTAATCCCAAGTTTTTGTTCCATCTGTACACAGTTTGATTCACAACTGCGTTCGAGTCTTCATTCATCCATCTTATGTACTTTGAATCACCGAAAGGTCGCAAAACCTATCTCAGCCTGGGCTGAAAAGTGAACATGTGGTTCTTACCTGGTACCTGAATCGATTCTGCCTGAAAGTGCTTAGCATACGGTGGTAGTCGCGCCAGGCATGGTGGCACATACCTGTAATCCCAGCTACTTGGGCAAGACCAGTCTGGGAAACTTAAGGAGACACTCTCAAAATTGAATTAAAAAAACGGGATGTAGCTCAGTAGTAGAGTGCTATCCTAGCTTGTGGAAAGTTCTGTGTTCAATCCCCAGTACCACGAAAGAAGAAAAAAAAAGTTGTTGCTGTTTCACGTCAGTAGGATACTGGTCTTTTTACTCTTACTTTACAGATGAGGACCCTGACTCTGCTGATTCCATAACCCTGCTCCAGTCTTTGTCCACAGCTTCTTGTTGATGTTTCCCCCTACAATCATGAAGCAAACGCTAGGCCCCTTCAGACATTCTGGAAATTGGTGGATTCTGGTCACTGCCAGGGCCCATTTTTGCCCCAATTAGTAATTGAAAATATCTGCCTGTTTGGGCCGCCTTCACCTGCGCACATCCCTTCTTCCTGGTTTATTTCAATCTAGCCACTTTAATGAACACTAAACATGTGCCAAGCAGTGAGAAAGTCGAATTCCTGCCCTTCAACACAAACGGAGGTCAAAGAAGACCCACATCTGAACAGTGAACAAAAGTCTGCTGCTTGCTGTATTTTGACAGGAGAGCTAGAAGAGTTTTTAGCCAGGGAAGGTGGTATACACCTGTAATCCCAGCAACTCTGCAGGCTGAGGTAAGAGGATTGCAGGTTCAAAGCCAGCCTCAGCAACTCAGCAAGGCCCTAAGCATCTCAGCAAGGTCCTAAGCAACTCAGCGAGACTTTCAAAATAAAAAGGACTGGAGCTGTAGCTCAGTAGTAAAGCACCACTGGGTTGAATCCCCAGTACCAAAAAATAAGAGAAAAAGGGGGCCCTGAGGATGTGGAGATATAGCTCAGTGATAAAGCATCCCTGAGTTCAATCCCTGGTACCAAAAAGAAAAAGGAAAAGAAAAAGATTTTTAGCATGCACTGGTAAAGCACCTACTATATGCCAGGCAGCCTTATTAAGTGCTTTAAACACTAACTCATTCAAATCTTCCTATCTTCCTAGGACCCCTGAACAGGCACTCCCCACTTATACAGATGAGGAAAGTGAGAATAGGGTCATTTGAACAAGGTTACTGGAACCAGGATCCAAGCCTAGGCTAACTGGCTCCCAAGTCCATGCTCTCACCTATACACCAACCTCCATTTTTTTTTTTTTTTTTTTTTAGGGGATTGAACCCAGGGGCACTTGACCACTGAGCCACATCCTCAGTCCTTTTTTTTTTTTTTTTTTTTGCATTTTAGGTATTTGTTGACCCCAAAGAGTGGAAGAAAAGATTTCAGAGGTAAAGAAAAGGCCCTTTAGGAACTTCAAAAATCAAAACGTGGACTGGGGCTGGGACTCAATGGTAGAGTGCTCACCTAGCATGTATGAGGCATTGGCTTCTATTCTCAGCATCACATATAAACAAATAAATAAAATAAAAATCCATCAACAACTAAATATATATATATATATATATATATATTTTAAAAAATCAAGGGGCTGGGGTTGTGGCTCAGCGGTAGAGCATTCACCTAGCACATGCAAGACCCTGGGTTCGATCCTCAGAACCATATAAAATTAAATAAATAAATAAAATAAAGGTATTATGTCCATGTACAACTAAAATTTTAAAAATAAATAAATAAATAAAAACGCATATGACAGGTTGTAGATAAATTATTATAATACCTACTGTTTGTAGAAGTTTAACATGTTGTGTTTATTATCTCAACCCTCCAACAATTCATATAATGTAGCTACTCATACAATTGTGTTCCACAGATGAGGAAACAGAGAGAAAGACTATGCACACAATCACAGCAGGAAGTGAAGGAGACACCAGGACTCAAACCCAGGCAGTTCAACGGCCTAGTCTGCACACTAACCACAGCACCCCATTGCCTCCCTCTTCTGCAGCTGGGAAAAGATGGAATTCAGTGTCAGAGAGGTGGCTGGAAGGAGAGCAGCTCTAAACGTTGCACCAAGAAACTCATGGGACTCCAGGACTGCACAGCTGGAACTGCCCTCCCAGCAGGATGGCTGATAAGGGGATGACTAGCCGCAGGAAAAAGAGCAAGCAAGATAACTAGAATTCTTTGGCAGGAGGCCAAGGGCATCTGTGCCACCAGCCCTGGGAAAAAACTAAGGAATATGCTTTATTTCCTTCACCAATCCCCTCTGCCTCCAGAAGGAATCTCTCATCTCCTTGAAACTATGATGAACTCTGGAAATTCTGTGCCTCACAGAGTATTTACCTTGGATTAAATTATCTCAGAGTTGTGTTTTTTGCTGTTTTGTTTTGTTCTGCAGTACTGAGTATTGAAACTGGGCTACACACATGCTAGGCAATTCAGTTACTCCACCACTGAACTACATCCCAGCCCTTATTATTTTGAGACAAGTTGCTTCTAAATTCCCCAGGTTGGCCTGGAACTCAAGATCCTCCTGCCTCTGCCTCCTGAGTACCTGGGATTACAGGTGTACCACCATGTTTGACTACCTCACTATTTTTCATGAACCTATTCAACTGCAAATTCCTTGAGGATGAGTACCACATATTTACATATTTCATACACCCACACACATGCAGGTAACAATATGCTTTGCCCTTTGTAGTGTCCCTGAATGTCCCTTAGTGTCAGAGCTGGGTGAGGCCTCAATAGTCCTCCACTGCAAGTGCCCATCTCCTGTCACTCCAGTTCACATTGGAAAGATGAGGAAAGTGAAGAAAACCATTTGAAAGAGCAGGAGATGAGCAAGAGACCAGATTTATCAGTAACAAGTCAGAGACAATCCATGGGGAAGGGCCTCAAGGTTGGGACTTGTTATGTGAGAAGAGAAAGGCAGGTGCACAGAGATCCAGAGAGAGAGTAGATGGGAGGCCATGCCTGCCCATAGGACCCTGAAGGCTGTGCATCCAGAAACAGAATTCCTGGGCAAATATAGGACCCTAGTCAGTGTCTATCACAGCATCTCAAATCTAAGAAGTTTAAAGCTTATCAAACCAAGATTTCTTAAATGTTGGTAAAAGGTAGGAATAAATCAGTGTATGTCACCCTCCACTATTTTTTTGTTTCGTTTTTAATCTTATCTCTTTTGAACACAAGACACAAAGACACGGTTCAGGACTGACTCCTGAGCTCAGGATTCTTAACAGTTTTCCAACCACAAGGGTATGGGTTAGGACAACTCAGAGAAGGATAACCAGAAGTCACAGCCATTACCCTCCACTGTCCCTCCAGAACAGAAAACGCTTCCCTGAGCCTTCTTTCCCCATTTATTTTCCCCACTGAAAAATAACTTCCTTATCAAGTACTGAACATTCAGTGAAGGCCCAGATTTAGAATGAGTGGGGCGAGCCTCGTCTCCAAGGGATGGAAGAGGGGTGGTTGCTGTTCAGCCCTGGGACTCCCTGTGAAGACACCACATGTCTTTACTTGCAGAACCATCTTGCAAACTCATCACCAGATGTTCAGCTCTCTGCTTCTGAGGAGAGGATTTATGAGAGAGGGAGAGAGGGAGGGAGAGAGAGAGAGGGAGGGAGAGAGAGAGAGAGAAGCCAAACTGATGACTGGCTTCTAGGAAAAGGAGCTGTCCTTTCTGTCGGGTTGAAATGCCATTGAAAAGGAACAGAGTCAGAGGAGAGTTCTGGACAGGGTAGTGGCTTTCTCTAGGACGCCCCCGACAACACCCCCTCCCCCAACCTCAAAACCACTCATCTTCAGGCTGGAGTGTTCTGCTCAGCTTTGGTACAAGCCCTTCTCTCTAAATTATGGAGTTGTTTGGTCTCTGAGAAAAGACTACAGGGTTTGCACCATAACCATCCACCATGACCCTGTGTGCGAAGCCAAGAAGATGACCATGCTCAAAGCGTGGCAGTGTATAAACCTTCTTGTTCCTTCTACCCTCATGCATATTCAACTGTTTCCTTACTCTATATTTTCTTAGATTAAATTCTGAGTACAAAACAGGTACTTTGTTATTTGCACTAAATGTGTCTGAAGTTTAATGACTGGCTAGCAGTTGGTAGTATGTTAGTCCATGATTCTCTGAGAAGCAGTTGCCAAGATAGGACTTGGAGGAAGGGTGTCAGGAGAATTGCCTGTGACAGGAAATGGGGAGGGGGAGCGCAGTGGCACTCTGAGTGAAAGAAGGTTGGGTGGCCAGAAGCATCTTAGACTGCAAGTGTTTTCTGAGGAAAATTCAGCAGTCTGTTGGGGAGTCCTTGAGTCAAAGTCACCCTGTCTCCTTGGACGGGGACTACCTGGGTATCCTGTTGTGGGGATGTTAAGTCATGGGCAAAGGCAGCCCTAGGGCAGTGCAGTCTCTGGGGGGATTTCAGAGTGAAGTAGGTGGGACCCTGGTCAACCAGCTTCTTGCTATATCAGATCAGAAGGCTGTATTCTCCTGGCCACCCCAGTACACTTTATGTTTCTCAGAAGAGTCTTTAGGTTAGCACTCAGTGAATACTGACTGACTGACTAAGGAAAGCCATTGTAGGTAGATGTCAGATGATGGCAAGGTAACCAGATTTCCATAGGCCTATTAAAAATTTTGCCAGGGTGCAGCAGGAAAACTGATGGCCTTTATATTTCTGACTGCAGTGGAAGAAAATGGCCTATCTGAGCTGGCACTAGGAACAGATTCAGGGTTGTTCAGCCTCAGAAGTGTGGACAAGAAAAGAACAACAAACAGAAATCCACGTGAGTTCCTTAAATTGTTAAATGAGTCCACAGGACTTAGCAAGTCCACTCTTAGCCATACACTCAAGATAAATTAAAACTTGCCTATCCAAAAGCTTATACATAAATGCACATGAATGTTTATGACAGTTTATTCACAACAGCTGGAAGATGGAAACAACCCAAATGTCCATTAACAGGTGAATTGATAAAATATAGGACATGTACACAGTGGAATGCTATTTGGTCATAAAAAGAAATGAAGTAGTGACATAGAGTACAGCATGACTTAGCCTTGAAAATATGCTGAGTGAAAGAAGCCAGGCACAAGGACCTCAATTTATATGACTACACTTATGTGAAATATTCAGAACAGGCAAATCTATAGTGACAGAAGGAAGATTAGCTTCTGGGGCTGGGAGGAGTGAGGTTATAAATAAGGAGCACACGATTTCTTTTTGAGATCATAAAAATGTTCTCAAATTGTGGTTAAGTTATACACATCTATGAAGATATTAAAAACAAATTGTACACTTTCAGTGAGTAAAGAGGCCTATAATCCAATTCTGGAAACTGATGCAGGAGGATCACAAGTTGCAACCAATCTCAGCAATTTAGTGAGACCCTGACTCACAGTAAAAATAAGAACAACTGGGGCTATAGCTCAGTGGTAGAGAGCCCTAGCGTTCAATCTCCAGTTACAAAAGCAAAGAGGAAAAAAAGTGTGTATGATACGTGAATTATATTTCAACAAACCTGGTTTCTTTAAATATTTATTTTTTAGTTGTAGTTGGACATAATACCTTTATTTATTTATTTTTATGTAGTGTTGAGAATCGAACCCAGGGCCTCGCACATGCTAGGTGAGCACTCCACTGCTGAGCCACAACCCCAGCCCTATCAACAAAGCTGTTTTTCAAGAAGTTGTAATTATTAAGAAACAAAATCCACAAAAGCCCTTGCTCCATGGGAGGAAGTGGGCAGGTGGCTCTGGGGAACCTAAAATGGTGGCCCTGCTGTGGGAAGACGGCAGTCAGGGTTCTCTGGTGCAGCTCAGGGATATTCTCAGGAGTGTGACTGGGCAAGAGCAGGAGGGTCTCACCTGAGTGTGGGGACACATTCCTTGCTAATAAAAATTGGAAAGGGCCAGGATGTAGCTCAGTTGTAGAGTACTTGCCTACATGTGTAAAACCTGTGTCCAATCCCCAGATCCACACAAAAAAAGTAAAAAATAAAAATAAAATAAACAAAAGACAACACAGGTTTCTGCTCACTGGGAGACATAAGAAGAGATAAAGGAAAGGCGTCAGAGAAGAAGGGGCAAAATGTGGCCCTGAGGTCTGGCCAGGGGAGCCACACTACCCACTGATGCCTCACATCTCCCTTACAGGACAAGGGACTGGGAATCAGTCTTTTGAGTTCCATTTCTGATTTGATGTTCCTCTTCCCAGTCGCTAATTTCCCTGTGCTGGGAACTCCCTGGCCCCAGGAGGTTAGAGAGGTAACAAATGCAACCTCAGGGGCACACCCTGGGCCAGGCCAAAATTTTATAGCAGCCAGCCCAAAAACCTTCCTTCCATGAGCAAAGGATCCTTTGTTAAAGCAAAATAACTCCTGGAAGAGGGAATGTTTTGAGCTACCAGTTACCTGGCAGGGGGACAATTCCTACCAACAGAAAGACTGTTCTGTTGCCATGACAAGAAGTCACCTCCATGACCAGTTTTAAATCATTTAATGAGGACAACTTGTCTCCATGTGGCCCAACAAGGACAACTTGTCTCTGTGAACATGGTCTGAAAGCCAGCCCACTGGCCACAGTCACCCTGCTGTTGACCAGCCAGCCCCACCTCTATTTCCTCCCAGGGCACCCCCCACTGAGCCTAGCACTTTCCACACTATGAGGTCACTTCTGTCGTGCACTCCTAAAGATGGGACCTGACTTGCACAGCTCCGCCTTCCTCAAGCAAGAAATACATTCACACCTTCAGCTCTTTTTTTTTTTTTTTTTTGGTGGGGGGGCAGGGGTAGGGCTGCTACTGGGGATTGAACTCAAGGGCACTCAGCCACTGAGCCTCATCCCCAGCTCTATTTTATATATTTTTTTAGAGACAGGGTCTCGCTGAGTTGCTTAGTGTCTCACTTTTCCTGAGGCTGGCTTTGAACTCACAATCCTCCTGCCTCAGCCTCCTGAACTGCTGGGATTATAGGCATTTTTTTTTGCCTGGCCATCACCTTCAGCTTTTTATTTCAGGACTGCTGGCCTCCTGCAGCAATGGTGTGCCAGGCATTTTATGTGCATCACTTCATTTGAGCCTCATAACAGCAACCTATTTTCAGATGCAATGCTGTGACACAGAAAGGTCAGCTGCCCACCCCAGCTCACACAGCCGGAATGTGGCTCCAAACCCAGGCTAAGTCCAAAGCCTGGACTTTAACATCACAAGCAGCTGCAACTGTGCTATGTGCGGCCTAAAGTGCTGCCGGGATGACAAAGGCCCTCTCCCTTTCCCAGAGCTTGAGTCCTAAGTTAAACACCCAGGCCATCTGCTACTGCTTTGTCTTGGGCAACAGGCTGACCCTCAATTTCCCTTCTTCCTGCCCAGTTTTGTAACAGATTACAACCCCAATGACCTAAAATTAACCTTCCTGCCCCTCCAGGCCTCAGTGCTTTGGGTGTGGCAGCTTTGTTCCTTCCAAATGAACCTTGCAAACAGGTTTTAGAGCAGTTGCTATGGGGGGAGTTCCTGGCAAAGATTTAGATCAGTCAACTCCTGCCCCATCAGTCAACTCTGTGCCTTTGGAGGTGTTACTGAACCCCTCTGGAGCCATGTTTCTCCTCTGTGAGATGAGGACACCTACCAAGTCCTCCTCAGATCATAAGTGAGAAGGTATTTTTCAATCCCTAAGAGTTTTGGGGGTAACATGAATACATTACATTTATTACCTGCTCATTGCACACCAGGCAGTGTGCCCAGCACCTAACATACATTAGCTTATTTAGTTCTCACAAACCCTATGGGTAGGTGTTCTTATCATCTCCATTTTATATGTGGAAAACAGATTCAGAGAGTTAGGTGTCCCGCTGAAGGTCACACAGCCAGTGGTTACTTGAGTCCCAACCCAGAGGGACTAAATGCAGTATCTATCTTATGGCTAAGAATGGTATTTCCTAGGGGCTGGGGTTGTGGCTCTGCAGTAGAGCGCTCACCTAGCACGTGCGAAGCCCTGGGTTCGATCCTCAGCACCACATAAAAATAAATAAGTAAAATAAAGGTATTGTGTCCAACTACAACTAAAAAATAAAAAAAATATTTTTTAAAAAAGAATGGTATTTCCTAGCATATGTAGCCGACCATGGACAGGACTAATATTCCTAGGTTGAAGTCATCACTGGAATTCAGAGGTGGGAGTTTGTCCTTCACCATGGACATGAGCCCTGTGGTGGACACGAAACCTGTGGGGTAGTGGGAGAAAATATGCTCAGCATATCTGGATGCCTCTTGTCCCCTGTCTTCTGGTGCCATATGGTTCCTGGAGGAGGCTCTAAGCAGATACTTTCAAGACAGAGGCCCAGTAAGTGGCCTGTGGTTGGCCCCTCAAAGCCTATTCTACGCTGGTGATTCATCCAGACACTATATCTAGATATCTTGAAGACTCATTTTGGAGGTAAGCAGATTTCCATTGACCAGGAAAAGTGTGGGAAGGCGGAGCCTCAGAATCTCCCCATCGGATTTTGCAAAATCCCAATCTTCTCAACAGCATTGCTTTCTTTCTATAGGGGTTTAGCCAAACAGGTTGTTTGAAGAGCTCCCTCTGATGGACAAGGTGAACCACTGCATCCTTTGCAAGGTCTCACTAGTAACTGTTCATATTTTGACATAGACACGTTTTCAAATTGAACCTTCACAGTAGCCCAGTGGATTTAGTATTATTATAGCAGCTTAAAGAGCAAAAAATAGACGCTTAGAGAGTTTAAGATAAACCCAACACTTTCTCTGCTTTTTCTTAGCAATTGTCCCCAAGTCTCTGGTGTCTAGCACTATCTCGCTTGCAATAGTTTCCACACTATGTGTCCCCTTCCTCCCTAAACCACCAGTTCCCTTTTATCAGTCCTACCACCCAGGTCTCAGCCTGGGTCCCAGGAGTGGGGCCCGTGGTGGGGGTGGAGCTGTTTCCTGGGGCCAGAGGGACTGGGGCCCAAAGCTGGTGCTGACTTCTGTCTTCTCTGTACTGATGCTTTCTTTCATTAACAGTGTGCACAAAATCCTTTCTATTTTCAGACCACTTAGGTAGTGTAAGATTTACACAGACAAGAATACAAATTATAAGCTCACAGCTCAATGAATTATTTCTCAGTGAACATATCCACATAAACTCCAAAAGATGATGAAATAACTACATCTTTTATACTAACTCTGTTATTACCACCTCCTGATAATCTGTTGTTCTGACTCCTAATGTAGATTAGTTATGCTTTTTTTTT